GGGCAAAAACTAGAGAAAGGGCACAAGAGTCCATTTATGCTCATCAATCAGAGAAAAACATGAGAAATAAAAATCTTTCTTACAGTGGACTTCAGATGTGCTGGTCTTTTGAACCCGTGTGTAACTTATTGATTTAGTCTTCTAATGTGTCCACATCCGCTTACTTCAACAAGACTGTATATCAAGGAAGGCTCTTTGTAGACGACATCATTAGTTGTCTAAGTAGTGTATCATTCTTCAGTCTTTGCCTGATTTGATCTTTTTGCTGTAATTATCCATTTTTATCTCCGGCACTCTCAGCGCATCTCAAGTCTTATCGGTATCTTTCTCTCTGCTAGTCTGATGACCCAATTTCCCCAAGGAGAATATCACATTTTCTCTAATCCGATAATTAATATCCTGGCTACTTCCCCCTCCAATCGCCCCCTTCTCCTTACCACCACGCTCATTATCTGCAGCTCCTTCAGGACAAAGTCCACCTTCTTTTGTGTGGTCAGAGAGGCCAGGACGGCGTTGTGGTTCCTGCAGGTCAGCTTGGCGTTATCGTACGAGTCCTTGGTCGTGATGAATTTCAGACAAGAGTTGCCCACCAGGTGCCAGCTTTCACCACACACGTTCTCTGCAGGGGAGAGAGACGTCAATACTTCTGATATGCAATATGCAAGCTGACTGTATATCCACTGGAAAAACTGGCCACCTTCAGTTTATGTAAGTCAGAAGCAGTACAGGTATTATAATAAAATACAGAACTTTTTAAAAAGCAGTTGTCTCCGTCTTGTAGACATGCAAAGTTTCAAACACGTCCGTCAATGCCTCATCAGGTAACTTGTAAACTAAAACCAAGAATATTTCTGCTGTGTTTTTAATTCTATTCTTTGTTCGTTTTCCAAGTTCACAACTGATTTTGTAAAATTTGTAATTTTTCTTCACAAATCTATTTTTTTATTTTAGTTAAAAATGTTTTCATTTCCAGTTTAGTTTCAGTTGGCTGTAATATTTTTAGTCTATATTTCTGTCATTCACCAAAACAGAGCTTTCATCACTGTGTAGCATGTGGCTAATTATTTTTAATAGATTTCAGAGGGGGCAGCACGGTGGCTCGGTGGTTAGCACTGTTGCCTCTCAGAAAGAAGTTCAATTCCAACATCAGGCCAGGGTTTTTCTGTTAGTGGGGATTCATAGGTAACTCTAAATTGAATGGTTGTCTGTCTCTGTGTGTCAGCCCTGTGACAGACTGGCAACCTGTTCAGGGTGTACCCTGGCTCTCGCCCTAAAACAGCTGGGATAGGCTCCAGCGAAGAGAATGGATGGATGGAGATTTCAGAAGTAATTACGTAAATCTATTTAGTTTCTCGCAAAAAAAATAAATTTTAAAAAAAAAATTGTAGAGAAACATGCGTAGGAGTGACTTTCCTTCTCACAGACTTTATCTGATATATGAACAGTTAACTTGGGTTTGATAACTAGAGAGATAAAATTGGTGAATATCGGTTCAGCACTTCCTGCTTATCTGTGCTGTATATCAATATTTGACTATTTAACTTCTGTTATCAGTTTTGCACCTCTAGGTTTCAGAAACTAAGTATGATTCGTGTTGCCTTTTGCCT